GGAGTCTTCTCCAGCACCGGAGTTCAAAGGCCTCCATTCTTTGGCGCTCAGCCTTTCTTATGGTCCAACCTTCACAGCCATCCGTTGCAACTGGGAAAAGTACACACTTTTGTTGGCAGGGTGATGTCTCTGCTTTTTAATATGCTGTCTAGATTTGCCATAGCTTTCCTCCACAGGAGCATCTTTTGATTTCTTGGCTGCAGCCCCCATCTGCAGTGATCTTGGAGTCCAGGCAAATAAAATATGTCACTACCTCCCTTTCTTCCCCATCCCCGCCAGGAATTGAGAGAGCCGGATGCCACGATCTTAGTTTTCTTAATGTTGAGTTTCAAGCCAACTTTTGCACTCTCTTCCTTCCCCTGCATCAAGGGGCTCTGTACTTCCTCTTCACTTTCTACCATTGGAGTGGTATCATCTGCATTTCTGTGAATTGCAAATCTCATAATTCCTGGCTAGCCGGCCAAAAGGGAATTCTGCACGTTCCAGTTCTTAAATCTCTCTCTCTCTCTCTCTGGACATCATTGGTTTGAAAGCGTCGGTCGAGCACATCAGAATCCTGATGGCTTTGTCATCATCCTCACCTTGTTCTCCATTCTTTTAATCCGCAGGACCGGAGTCAACCGGAAGTGACTGACAAATACTTTCACGACGTCCCTTTCGATGCCTATTTCGCATCCGAGTTGCCCGATTTCCACCAGGTCAGCAGCATACCTGGCGTGGATGGTTTTACCATGAAGGTGGACGCCCTATATAAGGTACGTGGCCTACAAATTAATTCATGCATTACAAAGACTGATTTGAAAACTCTCGGGGCTGTTGACGCAGGAGAACTGTGGAATGTTGTCTCCTTCATCGCTGACCTAAGGGGGAAGGAGAAATATTTGGGGTGTTGCCCTGGGCTCTCATCTTTTATTGAACGAGACAGGCTGATGAGGTGGCTTCTCAACTGAGTGAGAATGGTCTTCCTCTTATCTCGGAGGAAGATGTTGATGTCCTTCTGGATAAGTTCACAGTTGGATGTCTGTGGAGATTCTCAGTAATGGTTTGTGTTCTGACCGAGGCTTCCCAAGAGCATGGAGCCAACTCCTGGTCCCGACAAAAACTCCTTTTGTTAATTGACTGTGAATTCTGCTCATTCACATCCAGCAAAGTCTTTCAAGGGAGGATTTACAGTCACAGACCTTATCTGGCTTGGAGAGCTGGCAGGCTGCTATCTGCAAAATTTGGCAAGAAGCCTTGGAGAGTCACAAGTATTAAAAATAAAGAATATTTAAAGATTTGAGTGGCTGACAGGATATTTCAGGGTACATATCCATCTATAACTCCCTAGTTCTTAAAATCTCTCATGTGAGGCTTCCTTGTTAGCATTTCATCAAAAGCTTCCTTTTCCCAAAGCTTTAGGAATGTGTTCTCATATAAAGCTGTGGGTTTTTTTGAGCTTCTGATTCCTTGTTTCTGCGTTTAATCATTCTGTTTTTGTTTTTTTGGTAAACTCCCTTGGAAATACGGATTGGAGGATGATGCCCACAGTATCTATAATAAATATTAATCATTTATCCAGTTCAGGAGTGAGAACCATAACTGTGAAATTAGATTTGCGCAGTAACAAAGAGAGTTTTAATCGAAATGCTTGGCTTAGTTCCAACTCCTAAAGCTGGAAAGCTCTCAAAATATGGCCGCCTCAATACCATCTGGCACTAAATGAATGTTGAATGTTGATTTTATTTATATGCTGCCCTTTTTCCCCAAAGGGGACTCAGGGCGGCTCACAACTCAACCAGGGGGAAGGGGGATACAAACAAGAATTTAAAACAACATAAAAAAACAATACATGATTAAAACACAACAGTCATACCAATTCGAGAAGGGGGCAAAAGCTCTTTAGCCCCAGGCCTGTCAGAACAGCCAGGTTTTAAGGGCTTTGCGGAAGGCCTGGAGGGTGGTGAGGGTTCGAATCTCC